GGGAAATCTGGAATTTTTGGTAATCTGGAAATCTGGTATATGGAAATCTGAATTCAGGTCTGCTAAGACCCAAGCCCAGTTCTTTTCCTCCTCACTCGCATCCCAGGCAGGAAGGGGGCAACTCTTTCTGGGTCACTTGACCAGGAACAATCAATCCCTGTAACTCTTCAATGGGGTATCCTCTCAGGATGGGGAAGAGCTGATCTCTACCAGGCCTGCCACCCCTAGAAGCTACTGATGGGCCAGAAATTATGTCTGACTACTGCATCTCAGGCTCAGACCATCCAGTAAAGTCTGGTAGCAAAGAAACTCAAGGTCCTCAAGGGAGGGAAGAAAAGGGATAATGTATGGAAACTAAGGCTGCTATGCAGGAATTTTGTAGACTTGCAAAAAAGCAAACAATGAAGCATGCATTTACAAAAGAAACGTCAAGCTATGAGAACCAGTTTGAAAGGTTTTACAAGGGGACACAGTTGGCTAACATACATCCTCTAGGAACCTCTGTCTCAGCTACAGAGATAAGGAATACCATGTTTCAGGAGAAGGTTACCTTAAAGAGCAAGGTTTTTAACATGATGAAATTGGACTTTCTGGAAGGAAACATCTTACACATAGAGCTTTTATGCATAATAAGTGCCCAATAAACATTTGGTAAATAGATGTCACTTGTATTTAACTGTATTTATAAAATACAGTTGTATTTATAATAATACAATGTAAAAACAATTTATTTTATACATATAAATACAATTATTATAACATATTTATAAAATGCATTTCATGCCATTGCAAGTGTTTATCCTCTGAATCCTCTATTAGCTATGAGGCCTTTGCTTGCCCACATGTTTATGTCCATCCCTTGATAACCAGGACAATACAATTCCTATGGTTGATAAGACCACACACCATGGCTAGTTCTCATGTACAAATGTGCATGTGTGGGTTCAAGCAAGCATTCCAGGGAAAAGACTGGAAGGAAAGACACAGAACTTTTGCCATTAAGAATTATAGGCCTTGTCCTATTCAATAGATGTCCTTCATCTATTCAACAGAAGAACAGATAAAGAAGATGTGGTGTGTATATATGTATCTATATATATGCATATATATATAATGAATACTATGCAGTGATAAAAAAGAATGAAATATTGCCACTTGCATTGTCATGGATGGACCTAGAGAATATCACTCTAAAATGAAGTAAGCCAGACAAAGACAATACCATATGATATCACTTATATGTGGAATATAAAAAAATGACACAAATGAACTTATTTATAAAACAGAAATAGACTCACAAACATAGAAAACACATTTAAGGCTACCAAAGGGGAAAAGGGAATGAGGGATAAATTAGGAGTTTGGGATTAGCAGATATACACACTATATATAAAATAGATAAACAACAAGGACCTACTGTATAATACAGGGAACTATATTCAATAGCTAGTAATAAATTATCATGGAAAAGAATCTGAAAAAGAATATATACACATATATATGTGTGTATGTATGTATAAAATAACCAAATCACTTTTCTATACACCTGAAACTAACACAACAACATAAATAAGCTATACTTCAATAAACAAAAAGAACTAGAGGTCAGTGGAACCCTACCAAACCACTGGAGCTGCAGGTCTTATTTTTATTTTTAAGTAAAATTAGCATGTACTACATCCCACATGTTTCCCATATGTGACAGTTTGTTAAAAGACCATATTACTTTGCAGTGCTTCCCATCAACAGAGTCTATTTTCTCATTCCTTGACTCTAGACTGACCCTGTGACTTGCTTTGATCAACAGTATGTGCTAGAAGTAGACATATGCCAGACTTCAAGAGGTCTTGCAGCTTTGGCTCTTGCTGCTCTGGGAACCCTTCTCCCACCAGGTAAACAAATTCAGTCTAGCCTGCTGGAGCAGGAGAGACCATCTGAAGTAGAAGGGATTCCCCCATAACAATTAGCCAACAGCCTACCTGGCTGCTGACGGTTGCACTTAGATGATCCTAACTATGACCAGAAGAGCCACCCAGCTGAACTCAACCAAACTTCCAAGCCATAGAGTCATGAATTAGATGAATATTTGTGTTTTAAGCCACTAAGTTTGGGGGGTGGGGTGTGCAAGTTATGTAGCAAAAGCTAATCGATACACTTTAAGAAGTCTAGACTGTAATTGCTAAGGCTGCTCACGTCAAGGTTAGCTCACGCCACCATATGGACTCTGGGAACCCTGATGTCTCCTTTATAAAGTTCTAAGTTAGGGAGACTCTGAGTGACAGTGCATGAGCCCAGGAAGGACCGTTAGGGGGTCCAACCACATTGCTCCACTGTTAAGGAATGCATTCATCACATAAATGTTTCCTGAATGCCTCCTTTGTGCCAGGCAGCATGGTCCATCAGGAAGGCACAACAAAGAATAAGGGAGACCAGATCCTTCCCTCAGGGAGGTCACAGTCTAGTTGGAAATCAGATGTTAAACAGGTCATTACACAAATAAGCAAAAACCGCAGTAACAAGCGCTGTGAACTAAAAGGACGTGGCGCCACGAAAGACAGTTATGGAGAAGGGGCCTACTTGGATTCGGGGCTCACACAGAGTGCTCTAAGGAAGAGACACTTAGGCCAGAGCACGTTGACAATAGGCTCGAGGTGGGAACGGAGCTCTCCACAAACACAACAAGGTAACGCGAAGCTCTGAGTCCCAGCCGCGCAGATTCACATTCCGTCTCTACCACTCCCTGGCGGAGCCAGTCAACATCCCAGAGCCTCCAGTCGCCTGTTCTATGAAATGTGGTTAATGATAACATCTTATTTTTTCACGACGCTTCTCAAAGCTGTCCTGAAAGCCAGTTGAAATAACCACATTTATTTGTCCTGCAGCTCCCCGTCGTGGGGCGGTGCCCTTCTGCCCAAGCCTCGAGCAGACACAGAGCTCCTGAGGCCCACTGGCCCGTCCCGGCGGAAGTGCAGTACCAACCCTCTCCACTAGGGACCGAGCCAGAGCAGACTCCAGCGTAACACAGTTCTGAGTCAGGATGTTAGCAATCCAAAGCTTTGGCCACCTGATGCGAAGGGTGGACTCATTAGAAAAGATGCTGATGCTGGGAAGGATTAAAGGCAGGAGGAGAAGGGGACGACAAAGGACGAGATGGTTGGATGGCATCACCGACTCAATGGACAGGAGTTTGAGTAAGCTCCAGGAAATGGTGAAGGACAGGAAGGTCTGGCGTGCTGCAGTCCATGGGATCACAAACAGTCAGACACGACTGAGCAACAACAAATCGAAACACTGTGAAAGGACTCAGATAAGAGGTTCAGGAGTAAGCTCTGGTTTTTGAACCAACCACATTTCCTAGTGGCTTATGGACAATTAAATGACTTCTGTGATTTCTTCCAAAATAGGCATTTCCAGAACTGGAGTCTTACCCAGCAGTTCTTGCAGCTTGTCAGTGCAATATAAAGGCAGCTTTTCAGCAGCCCCTCTGGTGCTCACATGGTCACAGACCAGAGAAGGGGATGGCATGTGGGCCCACAGGCGCCTTGCTGCAGTTGCCGGGGGCTGAGGTGGGGGTCGGGGTGGGTGTGGGCTCCAGCGCCCTGTAACAGAGTTTCCACACCACGCTGAGACGTAGTCTCTTTTCTTGTCAGTAGTGTTCCCCAAGAGCCACAAGCCCATGTCTTTCTCATCTGTGTCCCCAATAGGACCTCTCACGTAGCAGGGCACATAAATATTTGTGAATTAATAGGCTTCTGTTTCTCCAACTGGAAAATGTGATCCCAGCCACCCAACTGCCATGACTGCCACGATTACACAGCCAGAGAGGCCACAGCAGCTCCAGGGACAGGCTTGTCTCCCAGATCCATCAAGTTGGTCAATGGCTATGAAATCCCTTCGCCCTCTATCCAGCACCCCAAGCTGCAGCCACCCAGGAGGCACCACTGGGAAGCATCTTCCAGGATCTTTGCAGGACCCTCCTTGGGGTCCCAGACTTCAGTGAGGACCCTCTGTGGCATCTGAGTCTAGAGTGAGGATGCTCCTGGCTGAGAGAGACCTTAATTTTCAGAGACCAGGCTAGTAGTGGAAAATCTGTCCAACTGGTGTCTGGGACTCACGGGGGGCTGGACTGGGGCCAGGGCTGGTCTTCCCCGGGATGACTCAGCTTCTGTCCCCCCCAAGAAAAACTGCACAAGAAAAACTGCACAGGAAGCCTCCACTCTCCTCCCTTTCCTCCACGTCCACAACCCTCCCCAGAGCATGAGACAACTCCAGGTGGGCAGGAGAACCCTGAATGCTGATGTATGGGTGTGAGCGCCTAAACACCAGCGCCTGTCCCCATGGGTGCTGTGTTGTGGTAAGAGGCAGGGCCACCAGGGCCATGTGACATGTATATTTGGTGCTGCTGAAAGTCTCCCCTCTGTGCGTGGAGAGCGCAGACAACACATTTCGAGTTTTATCAAGTTTTCAATGATGCCAAGAGTAGCCAGGTAGTTGATTTATAGGAAACACTACAGTCCCAGTTTGTCCATTTGAAGGAAAACTCAATCGACATTGCTTTCTAAAAAAATCAGAAGTTTATAGACTTGGTTCAAAAAAGCTTATAAAGGCTTTCTTTTTTTTTTTTTTTTTGTTAAAAAATTATAGTCTAATTTGGAAAGTTACCAGTAGAAGAACAATGACATTTATGATTTAGACAGGCTTCTTAACAATTAGATGTTTTTTTGTTTTTTTAATTTTTTAACATTTTTTGCTGCACACAAGGCACCTGGGATCTTAGCTCCCCAACCAGGGACTGAACCCATGCACCCTGCATCGGAAGTGCAGAGTCTTAACCACTGGACCACCAGCGAAGGCCCTAACAATTAGATGTTGCAACCAGTTTATATCCTTGATCATTCTGAGAGGGGACAGTAGGGGGCTATGCCTCCAGCTCTGCACCCCTGCCACCCCACCCTGAGAGCAGCTCAGCTCCAGCAGCCCAAGGGAGGCTGGGCACCCACCTGGCTGGTTGATAGGAGCTCTGGGTTTCCGTCACTCATCCCCACGTAGGCACTCTCACCATCAAACTGGAACAGAGAAACAGAGAGGCAGCTCTGATGAAAATGTTCTCCAGAAGGGCCCAGGAGAAGCCCAAGGAGGTCAGGGGACTCTAGTACTGAGGGGAAAAGACTGGAAGCTGGAGGAGCAAAGACTGAACCCAAGATGCCCAGTCTCTGTTTCAGCAGAGCTCTCTCTAGGGTAGAAGGAGGCGTCCTTATTCCATGACCTTCATGGCTTGGGTTCATCACACTAGGATACAGAGAGGAATACCTTTCTGCCCTTTACACCTTGTCCAGAGATGTGACAGACTGCTTTGTCAGATACTGAGCGCCCCATCTCTGGAAGTATGCAAATATTTCTCCTGTCCAAAATGACATCAGGCACTCAGCTAGAGCTGGAATTCCACATGCTGGAGGGAGGCCAAGATCTTCAGAGCCCTGGGATCAGGACAGCCTGCCCCCGACCCATCCCCCAGGTATTACCGTCCCAAGGGGCTCTGTCCCCTTACCCTTGCTCTTCAGGCCGTCCCTGACCACAGGCATTGAGGACTGTGGTAGAAACCAGCTACAGGAACTACAACCCTGGGTTTTGAGAGCTGCCAGGGCTGGGTTTGGGAAAATATGTCTGCAACAGGGAGCAGGTGTAGCTGGAGAAGCGGGGGCTCCGGAGCCGCTGGCTCCCCTTTCTCAAGATGCGTGATCTTGAGCTGGAGACTAAACTCCGGAGGTGCCTGTCAAAAGGGGAGACAACGGTAAACCTCCCTCCAGGGGATGCTGCACCAGAAAGCGCAAAGCTGCTGGCTCCATTCCCGTTCCCTTCACTTGAGACAAGCATCTGCAATCAGGTTCTCTAGAAGCAGAGCCTGAGACAAGGATTCAAAGGCATGTGATCTTTGAGAAGTGATCTTTAGGAATAACCTGTAAGGGAGGGAGAGATCAGAATAGGGTAGGGGAAGAAGCGAACCAAGGAGGGGGCCCCAGTGGAGGCTTGCTGTAGCCTTATCCCACCACAAGCTTGCTCGGGGGCAGGGATGGTACCTCAGAGCTGTTCCTGCATGAAGCCAGGGGTAGGGCTTCTGTAGCCCATGCACGTCAGTCGTTGGTCGTGGCTTAAGGGACAAAAGGGAGCCATGACCTGAGAAGGGTGACCCCCGTTTGGCCCAGGACATTTCTGCAGCGAACTGTGCCAGCGGTGAGCCATTTTCAGCCTGTGCTATCCCTGGTGGTTCAGACGGGAAAGAATCTGTCTGCAATGCAGGAGACCGGGGTTCGAACCCTGGGTCAGGAAGATCCCTTGGAGAAGGGGAAAGGCAACCCACTCCAGTATTCTTGTCTGGAGAATTCCACGGACAGAGGAGCCTGGTGGGCTACAGTCCATGGGGTCACAAAGAGTCGGACACAACTGAGCAACTAATACTTTCCCAGCAGATGGGGGACAATATTGTCCAGCTGTGCTGGACAATAAAGGGATCTGGGTGGGGTATCAACACCAGCTGTCCATTTTATTGTAATTGAAAAGAATTTTTTATTAGGTTATATTCACATGATTTAAAATTCCCAAAGTACACAAAGAGCAACAGAAGGAAAAGTCGCCCGCCCCCACCTCCCAGGCATCCACTGGCCCTCTCCAGAGACAATCACTGCATCTACCAGCTTTCCATACATCCTTTCAGAGAGAGTCCCTGCATACACATTAGAGTCACTTCTTTTCTATAAATGACAATGCTCTATACACACCATTTCGCACCTTATATTTCTCCTAGCAACACATCCTGGAAAGTGTTTTATATCAGATCATAATTCTGTCTTCTGGTGTGCCCTAGCACGGCTGTAACATATATATTGAACTACTTAAGCACACGGGCAATTGATTTGTTTCCAGGTTTGTGCTATTCTCACATTGCTCTGGTGAATATTTTTGTACATCCGTCATTTTGCATGGGTGTGAGTCTATCTGTAGGATTAATCTGAATAATCGCTGCATCCAACAGTGGGTGCATCTGTAATTTGGATGGACATCACCAAGCGGTCCGTGTGGAGGTTGGAAAAGCCCACATTCCCACAATCATCAGTTCATCCAGACCCTCTTTGCTCAGAGAGGTTCTCATAACAAACTGGCTCAGACACCAGCCTCCGACCTCGGTGGGCTCCAAAGCCCACATACCCGACTCCCCTTGCCCTGCTCACCCTTGCTCATCGTTCCATTGCCCCTTCACCTTCTAGCTTTCTATGTAATTTACTTATTTACCACATTCATTGCTCACAGTTGGATTTCTCCTTTAAAAATGAAGGGCCTTTGAGGCCAAGGGGTCTTAGTCTTTCTGTACACTGATGATGCCTCCCAAATATCTAGACTAGCACCTAACATGGGATAGGTACTCAATAAATGCTTGTTGAATGAATGAATGAAGCAACCACTACATCACTTGTGTTGTCTTTTACCAGACCAATCTTTTCATCAGGGCAGTGGCATTAGGATTTATACCCAAGTGCCTTCCCAACACAGGGATGGACATCCTTCAGTGACTGCTGGATTCACAAAAGAAAAGGCTGTGCCATGCCTAGAGTCTGGGCATGACCCCAAATGCAGGGCATCATCCACCACATGGAGTTCAGGCTTCAAGTCTCTGCTCAGAAGCCACCTCCTCCAGACATCATTGCTTTCACTTCCTTCAGTCCCTCTAACAGCCTAGATTGTCTCTACATCTATCCGCTGCCCAGCGTGGAGCAGTGTGAAGGCTGGAATTGTGTCCTGATGGTTTCCCAAGCCCCCAACACCCGGCAAGACTGGTATCAAGGACAGGACTATGACTTGGGCAGCATAGAGAGTTCTCAACAAAAGCTCCTAGGTTCTATCTGATAGGTCACTGTGGCCCTATATTTACTCTTTGATAAAAATTAGACCTTTCTAAAAATCGCACATAATTGATACATATGTTCTAAAAGAAAGAGGGCTTCCTTTGTGGCTCAGCTGGTAAAGAATCCGCTTGCAATGCAGAAGACCTGGATTCGATCCCTGGGTTGGGATGATCCCCTGGAGAAGAGAAAGGCTACCACTCCAGTATTCTGGCCTGGAGAATTCCATGGACTTAATATAGTCCATGGGATCGGGGAAGTGGAGGGGGACTAAATTTTTTAAATAATTAAATAATAATGAAATATCTTTTTAAAAATTTATTTATTTTTGGTTCATTTCAGTTCAGTCGCTCAGTTGTGTCTGACTCTTTGCGACCCCATGGACTGCAGTACGCCAGGCCTCCCTGTCCATCACCAACTCCCAGAGTTCACGCAAACTCATGTCCATTGAGTTGGTGATGCCATCCAACCACTTCATCCTCTGTCATCCCCTTCTCCTCCTGCCTTCAATTTTTCTCAGCATCAGGGTCTTTTCAAATGAGTCAGTTCTTCACATCAGGTGGCCAAAGTATTGGAGTTTCAGCTTCAACATCAGTCCTTCCAATGAATATTCAGGACTGATTTCCTTTAGGATGGACTGGTTGGATCTCTTTGCAGTCCAAGAGACTCTCAAGAGTCTTCTCCAACACCACAGTTCAAAAGCATCAGTTCTTCGGTACTCAACTTTCTTTATAGTCCAACTCTCACATCCATACATGACTACTGGAAAAACCATAGCCTTGACTAGATGGACTTTTGCTGGCAAAGTAATATCTCTGCTTTTTAATATGCTATCTAGGTTGGTCATAACTTTTCTTCCAAGGAGTAGGCGTCTTTTAATTTCATGGCTGCAATCACCATCTGCAGTAATTTTGGAGCCCCAAAAAATAAAGTCTGAAACTGTTTCCATTGTTTCTCCATCTATTTGCCATAAAGTGATGGGACCAGATACCATGGTCTTAGTTTTCTGAATGTTGAACTTTAAGCCAGCTTTTTCACTCTCCTCTTTCACTTTCATCAAGAGGCTTTTTAGTTCCTCTTCACTTTCTGCCATAAGGGTGGTGTCATCTGCATATCTGAAGTTATTGGTATTTCTCCCAGCAATATTGATTCCAGCTTGTGCTTCATCCAGCCCAATGTTTCTCATGATGTACTCCACATATAAGTTAAATAAGCAAGGTGACAATATACAGCCTTGACGTACTCCTTTTCCTATTTGGAACCAGTCTGTTGTTCCATGTCCAGTTCTAACTGTTGCATCTTGACCTGCATACAGATTTCTCAGGAGGCAGATTAGGTGGTCTGTTATTCCCATCTCTTTCAGAATTTTCCACAGTTTGTGGTGATCCACACAGTCAAAGGCTTTAGCACAGTCAATAAAGCAGAAATAGATGTTTTTCTGGAACTCCCTTGCTTTTTCAATGACCCAGCGGATGTTGGCAATTTTGATCTCTGGTTCCTCTGCCTTTTCTAAAACCACCTTGAACATCTGGAAGTTCATGGTTCAGGTATTGTTGAAGCCCGGCTTGGAGAATTTTGAGCATTACTTTGCTAGCGTGTGAGATGAGTGCAATTGTGTGGTAGTTTGAGCATTCTTTGGCATTGCCTTTCTTTGGGATGTTTCTGGTTAGGCTGGGTCTTTGTTGCTGGGCTTTCTCTAGCTGCAGTGCACGGGCTTCTCATTGCAGTGGTTTCTCTTGTCACGGAGCACGGGCTCCGGGCAGGCGGGCTTCAGCAGTTGTGGCACGTAGGCCCAGAATGCAGGCTCAATAGTTGCAGTACACAGGCTTAGTCACCCCATGGCCCGTGGAATCGTCCCAGACCGGGGACTAAACCTGTGTTCCCTGTATTGGCAGGTGTACTAGGGAAGTCTGAACGGACTAAATTTAACAAGATATTTGAAACATTCTTTAAGGCAATAGTCATCAAACTGTATGGTGTATGTTAAAAATTCAGGGCATCTTTTAATGTAGGTTAAAAGACATGCCCCAAACTCTGTATAATATCCCATTTATTAACTGCTGGCTAGAATGAAGCCTCTGGTCTGCTCTCTTCCCCCACCCCCACCCCCATGCACAGCAAGAGATGAACAAATACCTGGTAAGTATTTGTTCATTTGGTGAATGAATGAA